GGGGGAGGGGGGGAGGGGCGGGGAGGGGGCCAGTCCAGTCCTTCACACCCACCGAACAGCCAAGAAAATTCCAAATGGGGGGGCAGAGCAGCGCACCTCACACCTTGAAATTCTACACCTGGAGAGGTTGGTGAGGAGACCTGTCGAGGTGAGAAGTAACAACAGAGATCATAGCATCCAGATGTGGGATGGTCGGGGGCGGGGCTATCCCATGTGAGTGTGGAAGGGTAGACACCTGCATCAGCAGGTGCGCCCCTCGCTGACTTCCTTCTTTCCTGCCTGCCTCCCTTCCAGGGGACCTACCACCCGTCTGTTTCTGGACCAGAAGAGCAGCAGGTCTTCCCAGCCAGGAGTTCACTTCCCAAGCAATTGCTTTAAAAGACAACACCGAGAGCCACGGTTTGAGAGACGGCCCCCTTGGGAGAGGAAACAGACCGTTTGTCCCGAAGCCAGGAGCTCTGAGAGGAAGTGGGGGACCCAAGGGTGTCCTTGAGAGGTTGTGTGCACATGTGTCCAGGGTTCCTGGACACCGATCTGTCTGCAGCAACATCACCATCTATGGAAGCCAACAGACGCTCTTCTCCTGCCTGCTCGGCGCCTTTCAAACCCTTACAATCCACTTCCTCCCCACGTGCCAGGAATAAGGTGGGGAGGGGGCTCCCCTGGGAACCCCACCTGCCAGCTTGTGTCCAAGGGGCAGCTCTCCCTCAGGGCTGACTTCCAGACGTGGACTTACCGCCACAGGCTCCTCCTCTTCCTCCTCCTGTCCTCTCTGCCACCACCGCTCAGCTTGCCAGGGTCCAGGGTCCTTGTTTACGCAGCGCCCGGCTCTAGCTACTGGCCACTGCCAGTACCAACCGTAAATGTCACTTTTAGATGAACTGGCCCCTGGGGTTTAAAAATATCCTTGCAGCCTGTAACCTTCAAGGCACGGCTGGCAGGCAGCAGCCAGGCACGGGAGAGAGAGGGCCAGCCCGGACCCGCGTGTCCAGCCCCTGCCATGCCAGGCACCCGGGCCCCACCTTCAGTCCCCAAACCGGCTTCCTTTCCAACTCGGAAGATATCTAAGCCATGAGGGATCTAAAGTCCAACTTGTCGTCAGCGAGGCAAACAAAGCCGAGTCGGCCCTCCTGGGACATGCTGGCCAGGAGGGGCAGTGCTTACATGCTGGGCTGTAAGCCAAAAGGTCGGCGGTTCGAATCCACCGGTTAGCTGTGCATCGGAAGAAAGATGTGGGCAGTCTGTTTCTGCAAAGGCTCCGGCCTTGCCAACCCGAAGAGGTGGGGGTGGGGGTGGGGGGACAGTTCTACTTTGTCCTAGGGGGGCCTCCTTGAATCAGGATCGACTTCGGCAGCAGTGGGCTTGGGTTTGGGTTTACTCACTGCAAGGCAGGGTGCTAGGAGACGGAGAAATGGCTGCTCAAACCAGGCCCACCTGGAAGCCAGGGTGGGTTGAAGGCTCTCGCTCCAGAAACATCACCTGATTTCTCTTCCCTGGAAAGATTCCGTGTCCACCTCTTGCCCGCTCCCTCCATTCAATGAAATGCTCCCTATTTCTCAGAACTCGGGGGACAAACAAGAGCTCCATTCACAGCCTGGGTCTGCCGGCCGGCGTGTGGAGAGGGCTGTGATTCAGCGTTTGGTGACAGGCGGCACTGCAGGCTGGAGGAATGTGGGACAAAGGTCGCCAGGGCCCAGTGGGGTGAAAGCAGAGACTCACCGTGTTCAGACAAAAGGGAAATTAGAGCCACAGGTGAGTGGCCCCAATTCAGCAAAGCAGCTGCTTTTACAAAATAGCAAATGGGGCGACCACTGCAGGAAGGCGCATGGAGCCTGCTGGGAACAGTGTAAAGTCCTGCTGTGACCTGTCCCCCTTCTCCTGTTATGGTTTCAAACCTAACTCCCTGCCAGTGAGTGGACAGGACTCACAGCCACCCTAGAGGAGAGGGTAGAACTGACCCCACCCTGAGTGTCCAAGACTACAACTCTTTTGTAAGAGTCTCCAGTAAAAGCAGGGTAAGACATGACAAAATAATAATAATTCATACATTATCAAGGGTTCATGA